ACCGGTGGGAGAAAATATTTCACCACCAGTCATGCCAAATCCAGGGGAGATTCCCCAACCACCTACCGATTGGTTGTCTTACGTTCAACAATTGAACAATCAGCAAACTTTGGCTATGCAGAATATGTTGCGCGAGCAACAAAACATCATGTTGCGTGAACACCAAAATCTAATGCAGAACATGTTGGATCAGGCGTTCTCCAGATTCACCCTGCATTCAAACATGCCTCAAGCCATGTCACCTTCTCGTTTTCAGGCGACTTCTCCAGGATCAACGTTTTCAGGGCCAACATACGTTGACAGTACATTTCCAAGCGTTACAACTTTCAACCGAATAGATATGGGGAAGACTCCTCTAACTTTCCTAGATAATGTTCCTTTGGGACCGAGGGTTGATAATACCCAGCCGAATGAGAGGTTGGGGGGACAGGCTTATAATCCCATCCCAGCCGAGCCAACCTTTACCAGAGAAGAAAGATTGAGAGGACAAGCTCACAATCCCCTCCCAGCTGAGCCAACCGTTACCAGAGAAGAAAGATTGGGAGGATAGGCTCACAATTCCCTCCCAGCCGAGCCAACCATCCTTAGAGAAGAGAGGTTTGGGGAACAGACTATTCATCTCATTCCGGTGTTCGATCCGGTTCCACCAAGGATAGATCCGGAGGACATCGCTCAAGTTTTACGGGTGCATTTCGGAATGAATCCGCAAACGATGAACATGCCGGTTTATCAGAGACCATTTCCAGAGAGAATCATCAACGATTATCCTCTCCCAAGGAATTATCGACCGCTAGACTTTCATGTTTTTTCAGGAGAAGACGGATCCTCCACTATAGGGCATGTGGGTCGGTTCACAGCACAATTAGGAGAAGTCGGTAATAACCTTTTTTTATAAACTCCAACTATTTAGCTTGTCTCTTACCAGGACAGCTTTTTCATGGTTTGTAAATCTGCCACCTGGGCAAATGCAAACTTGGGAAGGTTTAGAGATGGCGTTCCATGCTAGATTTTTCAACCCTTTACCAGCCGTCTCTCTTTCCGATTTGTTGGAAATGAAACAATGTCCGGAAGAGTCAGCCTCACAGTTCATCAAAAGGATACGGTTGATGAAAGGACGATGTTCTACAGTAATCAATGAAAAAGAGTTGACCAATTTAGTGGTCTGCAATATGCATGATCGGTAGAGAGAGGCACTCACTGCTCACGATGTGGAAGATCTGACAAGTCTCGCATCCAAGGCAGGGAGGTTAGAATCCTTTTTTAGAGAAAATGATCACGACTTCCGTCAAGGGGGAGATGCTGAAGCAATGTTAGTGCAAGATCGATCAATGTGCAGACTACCACCAGTCCGCGATAAATGGAGGTCGGGTCCAACGTAGCCTCGGAAGATGGAGGTCGGATCTGAGGCTGACGTAGCCTCAGATGCTGACCTGCAAACTCCTAAAACATCACTGAAAGTGAAGTTTAGGAGTCTTGAGGAGGAGGCTTATTGTTGAGCACAAATAATAATAATAATAATAATAAATAATGGCAGTAGGATTCTCGATGGGTCTGGATATAAGCCAAACGTCCCTGAAGTCGGGAAAAACAAGTCGGACAGACGGGGAGGTCTATCAAGAGGAAGGTCGGGCAAGGAAGAAGTATGGACATACGCGGAGGTCTATCAAGAGGAAGGTCGGGCAAGGAAGAAGTATGGACAGACGGTCTGTCAAGAGGACAGTCTGTCCATCTAAGGAGATAAGACAAATAGAGCCGGTCGGTTGGTCCGTGGTCGGGACCACAGTCGGTTGCTCTGTGGTTGGGACCATAGTTGGTTGGTCTGCAGTCGGGACCGAGGTCGGTTGGTCCGTGGTCGAGACCACAGTTGGTTGCTCTTTGGTCGGGACCACAGTCGGTTGTTGCGGAGTTCGGACCAAGTAAGGTCGGATGCGATAAGGTCGGACAATAAGGTCGGACCTGGTCGGGCCAAGCTTAAAGGTCGGGTGCAAACATGCCAAATTCGAAAGTCGGGTATGGTAAGGTCTAGTGTGTAGATGAGGCAGGATAAGGTCGGGCGTAATAAGATCGGGCAGTGAAGTAGCATGTGCAGGTCGGGTGGAAGTTGCAACTGGCGAACAGTTGAAGGAAGTTGCAAGTGGCGAACGGTTTTTGAAGGTCGGACGTGGTAGGACGGTTGACACACGTGTCAATAGAAGAGAACTTTTGGGGCAGTTAACAGCGGTTATAGTAACCGACCAGATAGCGGTTCGAACCGTTTCTTCAACAGGGTTATTTAAGGATCCGGTATTGTTCGAAAAAAGGCATCTTCAATCAACTTCAACAAAGCAAAGTCAGATTTGGGGATCACCACTTTATTTTCAGCCTTATTTTTATTTGCTTTTATTTATGTATTCTACGGTGTTTAGAGATTTTTAATCTCAGACACTAATTCTATCAAATTTGAAAATATTTCTTTATTTTTGGATTTTACTTTTTATTGTTAAAAAATACATCAACAATATGTTTATATTAAATTTATATATCCTATAAACACTAATAAATACATACTATTGTTGTTAACACCAGAAGTGTAACTTTTTTGCCCTTGCAATGAGTCATACTAGTGATATTTGGCTGTAGGAGCAATTGAATTATAATTAATCATATGGGTGTAAATACTACTCCGTCCCACATAATTTATTCTTATTTTTTATTTTTATCTGTTCCACATGACTTGTCAATTCTATTTTTGGAAATATAATTATATACTTTAATCACATTTTAAATTTTATAATTTTTTAAATTTTAATTAAACTATTTAGTTATCTTAATCTTAATTTATAATAATTTTTACTAAATAATAATTATTTTTACTAATACATTTCTTAATTATCTACTAATTATACTTTACCTAAATTCTCGTATCTACAGTAATAAACCCAAAATATCTGGGAGGGATAGAGTAATAATTATCATCGTAATCGGGCCAATTGAATTCACCAAAACTTAGTTTCTTAATTACCTACTAATTATATTTTACCTAAATTCTCATATCTACAGTAATAAATCCAAAATATCTAGGACGGATGGAGTAATAATTATCATCATAATCGGCCCAATTGAATTCACTCAAACTTAGTCACGAATAATCATGATTTGATCTTAGCATTGAATTGTCATTCGAATAAAAATAGTCATATATGGGTGTTGCTTTCAGAAGCCATTAGAATATGGATAATAGGACATCTACAAATTTGTACATATAAAAAAAATACGAAGAGAGACCTTTGTATCGTAAAATATACAAAAAAGAAAAAGAATTATACTACAGGATGACCGAAAGATTATCTCTATAAATTTCTTCTTGATGATTCAATGCATTTTTACATTATGATACATATATTTGTAGAGAAATAAAATTATTATTTGGTAATTGATTGGTAAGGCCCCACTACTAAAATAAAATTGCTATAAACACTGAAAAATTGTGTAAAAAAATTTTTGATTTAATGAAAGGTGGGTTGAACCGGAGGGTGAAGGGTTAAGATCTTCAAGAGGGATAGATTTCGCCAAATTTGCAGGGAGGGGATAATAAATCCTCCTCCAATGCCTCCCTTTAATTTTGGTACAGTTTTCTTGTTTATTTTTATTTTTATTTTATTTTATTTTTGCTTACAATTTAATGCAAATTTGTTTCTAAATGTTTTTATCCTATTTATTATATATTTTTATTAATTTTATTTTTATTAGGTATAAAAAAGTTGTTTTTGTATATTTATATTTTAATTTTGTAATTAATATTTATAGTAAATAATTCTATTGATTTATTTAATGTTTATCGAATTTATTGTTAATTAACTATGATAAAATAATTACAAAATATTTATATTAAATATAAATTATTATAATATTATAAATAAAATTATAAATAAAAAATAATGGAAAATGACACTAGTTATTTAAGATATTAATTTAATTTATCAACAAAATATTTTAAAGACCAATATAGAATATTATTATAAGCTAGCTATGTAAAGATAGTTTATCATTTGAAATCCTAATTAATACTATTAATATCATACAATTTATAATTAAAACATATATTTTTTTCATAAAATATCACATTAAAATACTATTCAAATAAAAATTTAAATCAACAATTTATTTTAAATTAATTTCAAACAATAATCAGATAAACTTAAAATATTAAATATTATTTGTAAATTTTAAAAAAAAAGTTATAACATAAAAGATAGAAAGAATATTATTTGACCCTATAAAAAAAAATTATAATTGAAATAAGTTAATGCAGCAAATCATAAAATCTATATATATATATATATAAAAAAGATGGTCTAAAGATAAAAAGATAATGAATAATAGAGTCAAGTATGAAAAAAATTGTAAAACATTGAGTGCAGATAAAATAATTATATGGTAGAAAGTCAATTTAAATAGACAATTGGAGATTTGATTCCAATTAGCAGATAATAATAATAATAATAATAATAAGAGGCAATTAAGCAGAAAGATAATGAATGCTAAAATATAGGAGGACTAGGTAGGTCGGGTTTGATTGATAGTTAGTGGAGGGCACGGATTGAAGAATGAGAGAGAGAGAGAGAGAGAGAGAGGAGAGCGAACTAACGTCAAATCATGTGAAATTGGCAGATGACGATGACGATGACGATGATGAGCTGAACTTAGCTTTCCCTTCCCCCTCGGGACGCCCGTCCATTTGTTTCGTCTTCCATATTTGGCTTTGGGTTCTCTCTCTCTCTCTCTCTCTCTCTCTCTCTCTCTCTCTCTCTCTTTTGAATAACTAACCAACCAACGACCGACATATCTACCTACCGTAACGACGACCATTTCAATCAATCATGCAGCCTCGGCCTCCATGTCAATAATCACTCTCCACTCCCCACGTTTCGCGCTATACCCAAAGCCCAGTTTCCCATCAATCATCCACCTCTCGCCACCTTCGATCTCCAATTCTTATTCTCTCATTTTCTTGCATTGCATTGCTAGCTAGCTACCTGCATCGCCTGCCTGCCATGGATTCGGAAGATCGGAAATCCCCTCTTTCCAATAATGATCACGATACTAATGAACAAGGATCTGAGTCCGATCAACATCACAACAAACCAAGTCCAACAACACATAATGCCAACCCGGGAGAGGAGGAGAAGTCCGACGACGACGTCGGAAAGGAACACCATCACGCTCACGATCAGCCTGCACCTGATGAGCATGAGCATGAGCAGGAGGGGGAACCGGAATCCAATTCCCAAGATCTGCCTCCTGATCTCAACCAAGTTTCTCAAGAGATTGATCAATTCATCTCCTCTTTGTCTGATCCAGACCATCGGATCGACCCGCCTGAATTCCTCGAGCAATTCTTTGACCTGATCGAGGCCAAGCTCGATAGCGGCTGCCATTCGGGTGAAGCCCCTCCTGTAAAATGGGGGGAGGAAGATTCAGCTTCATTTCTCCAAGACGTGAATCGCATTTCTTCCCTATCGAAAGCACTTGATAGATTGAGATTCTCCTCAGATGAGAGGTACGCCGTTTCCATCAATCGCGTTGGCAGGCTTCTCCAGCGAGCAATGTCCTACGCCGAGGAGGAGTTCAGGTCCATCCTCGTCGATTACAGGATCCATGATTCTACTCCCAATTCCAAACATTCCACTGACCAACCAAATTCTCTGGAACAACAATCGGGATTGGATCATGAAAGCACACACCCGCCTCCTCAATCATCATCATCAGAAGAAGCAGCAGCAGCAGCAGCAAATAATCATAATCATAATCATAATCATAATAATAGTTCCGGATACTCGGAAGGCAATTTGTCGGGCTTGGTTAGGCTGTCAAAAGCATTAGTTGCGGGGGGTTATGAAGCAGAGTGCTGCCAGGCATATCTTGTGGCCCGGCGAAATGCATTGGAAGAGAGCATGCAGAAGCTTGGATTTGAGAAGCACAGCATCGATGATGTGCAGAAAATGCATTGGGAATCACTGGAGAGGGAGATTGGGCACTGGATCAGAACGTTCCAGCAATGGGCCACCTCCGACTCTCCCAGCGAACGCAAACTCTGCGACACTGTCTTCTCCGATAACCCCTCAATATCCAAATGCCTGTTTGGCAGTTTGTCCCACGGGGTCACCATTCAACTCCTCAATTTCGCTCAGGCTATTGCTCTAACAAGGCGTGCCACCGAGAAGCTGTTCAAATTTCTCGATGTATATGAGACTCTGAGAGACAGCTTTGCAGCAATGGATGACGACTTGTTGATGATGATGCCACAAGAGATTGGGGCTGAGCTCAAAGCCGAGGCGTCCTTGATAAGGATTAGTTTTGGTGAAGCCATGATCTTGATATTCAGTGACCTAGAAAACTCAATCCATGCCGACTCTGGGAAGATTCCAGTTCCGGGGGGAGCAGTTCACCCTTTAACCAGATACACCATGAATTACCTGGTGTATGCCTGTGAGTACAAGACTACTTTGGATCAAGTGTTCAGCGAGCATCAGAAGGGGGGCAGAGCTAATAATAGTAATAATAATAATAATAATTCTTCGACAGATCATAGATCATCAGAAACCACCGCAGCAGCACCTAATAGTAATAATAATAATAGTAACAATGCGGCGGACGACTCCTCCTCCTCCTCTGCATTCCAAGCCCAGATCATAAAGATCATGGACATTTTGGACGCGAATCTGGAGGGGAAATCAAAGCTATACAAAGATGTTGCACTGAGTGCGATCTTCATGATGAACAATGGGAGGTACATCTTGAAGAAGATCAAAGGATCGAGCGAGCTGAAGGCGCTGATAGGAGACCCCAGGTACAGGAAAAAGTCGTCAGAGCTGAGGCTGTATCACAAGGACTACCAGAGGGAAACCTGGGGGAAATTGCTGGGGAATTTCCACCCAGAGGGGCTATCGGTTCATGGCAAAGTATCAAAGCCAGTTCTCAAGGAGAGATTCAAAAGCTTCAACGCAATGTTCGATGAAATACACAAGACGCAAGGCAGCTGGGTTGTTGGGGATGAGCAGCTTCAGTCAGAGCTCAAGGTTTCCATCTCTAACATGGTTATTCCAGCTTACAGGTCATTCTTGGGAAGGTACGGTCAGGTGTTCACCCCGGGGAGGCAAACAGAAAAGTACGTCAAGTATCAGCCCGAAGATCTTGAAAATTATATCGAGGAGCTCTTTGATGGGGCTGCTGCCGGAAGAAAGAAATCATAACATCAACAACAACGACAACACACCAACCCCGGGAGGACAGGGACTGGATATATACAAATAGCTTTTTAATGCGAGTGGTGACGTGAGCGTGACAAAGAGCTTAATTGCTGAAGAAGACAGCACATTACCTTACCGGCATTTTGCATTTTGAACAGTGATGAAAATGCTGATTTGGATTCCCGGGGTGGTCGCCAATTTTACATTCCACGTCCATGTATGTACACAATTCTTAATTGGCATGAACACGTACATATATATCATTATTCTTCATCTATTCATTCATTCGTTCATCCTCATCCTCATCCTCATCCTCTTTCCGCCTATGAGTTGACTGACCTGTCTGTTATAGTAAGCCAGAGGATAGGAGAGGAGAGGAGAGGAGAGGCCGCTGTGCGTGTGGAGTGTGGTTTTATGTACTACTACTACTACTACTACTACTACTTACTGTTTGATTTGTAGATCATCTATCTCGGTTTCTATTTCTATCTCTATCTTATATTTCTAGACCTAGTAGTATATAGTAATTGAATGAATTTGGCTCTGTTTAGATACACTGTTTCACAGCTTGAAGGTGAAGGTGAAGGTGAAGGTGAAGGTGAAGGGGAGCACAATGCTAAGCTATTGCAATTGCAACATCCGCTTAATTAGATCAAACAATGAATCGGGTTGGAGGTATGTACATATGGCAAATAGAGCCCCCAAAAACTGATACAATATGATAATTTTAATACAAAATAATTGAGTTTTGGTCAAAGATTTCGATCCGATTATATATACGCACATTGATACAAACTAGACACCATAATAAATTCTAGTCAAATCTAACATGATACTCCAATTATAATATATTAATATTAATTAATATATTTATTATATATGTAAAATAATTATAATTTGATAATTAGTCTATATATTATATAAGCTAAGTTCAATCTTAAATAATTCGATATAATTCACTATACACGAAACACTATAATAAAAAAAAGAAAAAAAAACTAACATAATATGACATTATGACAAAAAGAAATTAAGTTTGGATAAAGTATTTTGAGCATATTATGTATACGAATCAACATGAATCCGACACGATAATAAACGAATCAACACAAACCCAACGTGATAATAAATAGACAGGGTTAAAGTTGAGTGATTAACCCGTTTAATATATCCAATTTGTTATGAATCGACTAATTGTCATCTCTAATTGTAAATTTGAGATGGGAAAAGAAGGAAAAATGAAATGAAATTTAGACAATTATGAATATGGTTGGTGTTGAAATTATGACTATGACCCTTCAGTATTATGTGTTTGACAAATCTTAGCCTATAAATACATTTATGAATTGATGAAATAAAATTGTGCAGAACAATACCAATTAATCTCTCTTCCTTAATATTTATCTCTTTGCATAATACTTATATCTATATTCCTATATTATATATGTAACTAATACATAGTATATTATAATATAAACACATATTATTATATATACGTCATTTAAGTATATATATATATATCATATACACATATATTATATTATATATATTATATATAATATATAAAATAGTGGTTAGCGGTAGAGATAATTAATATTTCTATTGGCTAATCTTATAATAATAATACAAAACGTTTATCAACACGATTGTGTATTCTAATTTTGGTAAGGTAATATTTTATATTTTATATGTTTATTATGTCTAACCTTGTCAAAAAGGAATTTGTCACTCTTTTCGTTTCTGACCAAAATTATATGGTTTGGACTCGCGATGTTAAAATGCATCTGACATCAATGGGTTTGGAAAATACCATTATCCGGGACAAAAATTCCCCGAGGCAAGATCGTGCAAAGGTCATGATCTTTTTGTGTCATCACATCGATGAGGCACTGAAAATGCAATATGTGCATTGGAATCCCCACTTGAATTGTGGGAGAGATTAAAAGAAAAATACGATCATATGATGTTGACTATGTTGCCAAGGGCACGAAGCGAATGCAAAGCCTACGGCTTTAGGACTTTAAAACAGTCCAAGACTATAATTCTGTCATCTTTAAAATAACATCACAGCTGCACCACTGTGGCGAAAATATATCTGAATCTGATATGACGTAGAAAACTTTCTCCACTTTTCATGCCTCTAACATGGTTTTGCAGCACCGCTATATTGCGAAAGAGGCTTTCAGAAATATTATGAGTTGATCACCTGTCTTTTTTTGGCCGAACAAAATAATGAATTGCTGTTGAAAAATCACGAATCTCGGCCAACAAATGCAAATCTATTTCCTGAGGCAAATACAATACAACCGGAAAATTCGGTGAATGGTCGTGGGCAGGTAAAAAATCAACGAATTGATTGCGATCGAAATCAGAATCGCAGAGGGGGCCGGACAAACGCATACGGTCATAATAATTATCAGAACAGGCCCCGATATGTGTCAAATCGGTGTTATAATGACAGAAGGCCGTAGAGACCTCAACCGAGGTTCAACACTGGGAGAAACAGAAATAATGATGAGATATGCACCCGGTGTGGAATCAAAGGCCATTGAGTCCATATTTATAGCACAGTCAGTCACTTGGCTGAATTGTCTCAGGCCTCAAAAGAAAGGCAAGGAAGGTTTCCGTCTAAACAAATCACGCTGCCCATAATGACACATTTGATGATGTGCTGTATGAAAATATCACGCATCTGGATGCCGATGATCTTCTTAACATAGCTGATGATGTTAAGTGATGAAATATTGTATTTCTTTTTGCTATTTTGATGTTTTTCGCCCCCTTTGTGTATTACCCCCTCTAATATAAGTCTATTTTGATTATATTATTAATACATGTCTTTTATTATTTCTACCATTTTGCAAAGATATGAATGCCAAATATTTTGAAGCCGATGACAATATCTGTCTCATCGTCAGTGCTACAACTCACAGCATTCTAAAAAATAAAAGTTATTTCTCCCACTTGAATATAGAAAAGACCACTATTGATACTATCAGTGGTGCATCGAAAATGATTAAAGGCTCAGGGAAAAGTACTGTATTTCTCCATAAAGGGACAAAAATGACAATTGAAAATGTCCTATTCTCGAGCAAAACTCGAAGAAATTTACTGAGTTTCAGTGATATTCGGAAAAATGAGTATCACATTGGAACATTGAATGAGGCAGAAAATGAGTATCTCCTGATAATTCAGATTGTGAATGGCAAAAGAATTGTGAAAGAAAAATTGCCATCATTTTCTTCTGGCTTGTAATACTCAAAAGTCAATGCCGTTGAAACATATTACCTAGTAGACCAAATGGCTACTAGAGAATTTAAAACTTGGCACCATTGACTTGGGCATCCAAGCAATGTAATGCTAAAGCGAATTGTTGAAAATTCAAATGGCTACCCATTGAAAAAGAAAAATATTTTGAGTCACAATGAATTTTCTTGTGCTGCTTATTCCCAAGGGAAGTTAATAATCAGGCCATCTCCAACAAAGGTTGGATTTGAATCCCCAACTTTTATGGAAAAAATTCAGGGTGATATTTGCGGACCAATAAATCCACTATGTGGACCCTTCAAGTACTTTATGGTACTAATTGACGCGTCAACACATCACACGTATGGTTGTTATCTACTCGCAATCTAGCTTTTGCTAGACTACTTGCACAAATAATTAAATTGCGAGCACAATATCCAAATCACCCGATAAAGAAACTACGTTTAGATAATGTTGGAGAGTATTTATCACCTACATTTGATTATTACTTCATGTCAATTGGGATTACTGTGGAACATCTTATTCCCCATGTACATACGCAAAATGGTCTGGCTGAATCTCTTATCAAAAGATTGCAATTAATTTCTAGACCATTATTAATGATGTCTAAACTTCCCGTATCAACTTGGGGACATGCTATATTGCATGCAGCAATCCTCGTGAAAATAAGGCCGATAAGTTATCACTGTTATTCCCCTACTCAATTGGTATCTGGAAAAGTACCAAATATATCTCACATGCAAATTTTTGGGTGTGTTGTTTATGTGCCAATTGCACCACCCAACCCACGAAAATGGGATATCAAAGAAGGTTAGGTATATATGCCGGGTATGAATCACCCTCAATTGTGAAATATCTTGAACCAACAACGGGTGATTTATTTACTGCAATATTTGGAGACTATCATTTTGATGAATCTCATTTCCCGACATTAGGAGGAGACAGTAATCAACTGGAAAAAGAAATTTCGTGGAAAACATCACTTGAATTTGATCATCGTACGAAACATAGTGAACTTGAAGTTCAAAGCATTGTGCATTTGCAGAAAATTGCAAATCAATTGCCTGATGCTTTTAATGATGTTGTCAGAGTCACGAAATTATATATTGCAGTAGCAAATGCACCAACTAAAATAAATGTCCCAGAAGGGAAGGTGTCGAGTGCTAATAAGCATACTGCCCATGTAAAACGTAGCAGGCCGTTGAGTTCCAAGGATAAGAATCCATGGAAAAAGAAAATTGTAAATACTAGTAAAGATATCAACATTGATAAGATGCTTGGAAAGGTCTATACAACCCCTGAAGATGTTGATACTAAAAATTTTGATGAAAGTGAGGATGAAGTTATTGAAACTTCTGTTAACTATACCACTAATAGAAAATATTAAAATAGAAAGAAAACAAATGTTGATAATGCATTTGCATATTTTGTAGCACTCGACATAATGAAAGATGATGAGGATTATGAACCAAAATTAATTGATGAATGTCAGAAAATAGATGATTGGGCAAAATGGAAAGACACAATTCATTTTTAATTGAACTCATTGAAAAAACTTCAAGTATTCGGCCCCATAGTCCAAACACCTGAAAATATGAAACCTGTTGGCTACAAATGGGTGTTTGTGAGAAGATGAAATGAAAATAATGATATCACAAGATATAAATCAAGGCTTGTAGCCCAGGGTTTATCTTAGAGACCGAGCATTGATTTTGAATAAACATATTTGCCGGTTATGGATGGAATAACATTCAAGTATTTAGTGAGCTTGGCAGTACGTGAAAATCTTGATATGCGATTAATGGATGTGGTTACTGCCTATCTTTATGGCTCATTGGACAATGATATCTACATGAAAAATCCCAGAATGGTTTAACATACCTGAATTATTCAAATCAAAACCAAAAGAATTATATTCATCAAATTGCAAAAATCTTTGTATGGGCTCAAGCAATCATGCCGAATGTGGTACAATTGTCTCAGCAAAAGTCTAACAAAAGAAGGTTACATAATGACATCTCCAAGGAACATTGATCTCGGGTTATTTTACTCGAAAGATTTTCAACATGAATTGATTGGGTTTGCCGATGCTGGATATTTATCTGATCCT